ACCTTACTTTACAAAATATTACGTATGCAATGAAAGAGTACTGTTTCTATTTGTTTGCCATTATCCCTTACAAACATCCATCTGTTACCTATGTATAGCTCACCATATCTATTCTGATCGAGTCATGGAATCATTCGTGCATTCGCTTACCTCCTAACTACGAACCTATAATTATTATGGTGATGATAATTTATTAACGGAAGAACGAGTGATCAATTGAATCATAGAAAGACGATCATGCATGCACTCACTGTAATTGAATGAATGGAATAAGATGATTTGATGTAAGGCTAATCGCCTGCTCGTTGATTAACTCAACTACAGACATTATCGGACAACAGAACAAACAGCCCAAAGCAAGTTACACGAACAACGAATGACAAAGACAACAACAAAACACATTTTGTGATGTTTGTACGCGTACTGCTGCCGCTCTAGATGACTCCACTGCTAGCACCTCCTCCGTCTTTAATGCTCCTCCTACAAGAAGGAACTCCTTACCTTCTTCTTCTTTTTCATCCTCTCCTTATTATTCATATTCATATTATTATGTTTTTATATACATTAAGAAATGCATCTATCTATATGTGTATGACGTATGAAAGGCTGCTCCTGCATCTCGTTATTCTTTACTGCGCGTTAATTAAACAGTCTCTATGAGTTTGACAGTGAATTTCGAATCTACTTGTTTCACATTAAATGAACACATCCTAACCAACATTTGATTAATTCACGTTATTGTAAACCTATCAGATACTGTTATTCGACTTCATCATCAATAAGCTCTGACGTAACAGAATATCGTCGAATAAAGAAATAATTATTCGTTTATGAAGGGCAACGATATTCATAATAGTGAGAGATTGTCAAATATGGCTTTAAGAATAAAAGTGCACGTTTAGTTATTTATTCGTTTAAGTTTAAGTTTTCCGTATTCAAGCACTATTTACGAAGCTGTCCATGTTGAAAGAGGAATAGACGTACAAAGATATCCTGGTGCAACACAGATAAATACAGTAAGAGTCATCTCATTCAGTCATTAAAAAATTCCTTTAAAAAAAGTTCATTTTCAAACACGCTTGAATCTTTGACCATAATGGTGCAACACATAATTTCTCACATCATATGGAATAAGTGGTGAATGGCAGTAAGAAAATTTTACTGGACATAATGCTCCTTCATTGGATTCTCTCTCGACATTCATAAGCAACGGCCAGATATGCTTCACGAGTTGAGCGAATTTCTACCTTTATTTATTCATGCAAAAAATGTATGAAGACACATGCTGACGAAGCCAAAAGATACACAATATTCAACAAATTATAAGGTGCATGTGGAGCAGTGGTTTAAACTAGTGTTTGTCGAGGAGGAACATTTTAGCCAGGGAGAGGAGAGGAATACGACAAAAATGTCCGGGAACGGGTTCACATCGCAGACCCTGATTGGGACCCCCTTTGTCGACGAACACTATGCTCTGTTCCCCCTTTGGCAATTTGGTGGACCGCCGTTCTCTCCAATAACACAGTGGCTCCAATATCCCCTCCCTCTTCTCTGATGATCTATCAAATCTTGGTGACAAATCTGAAGAAATCAGGCAATTCCAAGAACAACGAGTCTTGCAACGGTAATTTGTCGGCGATATCAATAGAATCAATTTTTTGTGATCAGATTCCTACTCTGAGACACATTATTGGACATATATGGAGGAAATATGAGGAAGAATCTATCAACCATGAGTTACCAACTTTCACCTTCCCATTGCCCTTTAACAATCACAGTTCCCTCCCTCCTCACTTCCGATGAGGACCGCTGATTACACTTTCGCAGTTTGAGTAATCCTCAACTCTTGACATTGAGTAGAAAATGCCTAGGGTATCAAGATCCATTTTTTACCAGGCTTTTTTCACAGGAGAATGATTTAGGTGTTGAAAACAGTTACATTACTTAAAATTATACAAGGCTGTCCATGACGTTAACGGCACGCAAAGAAGGCTATTGAACAACTGATTCAGTACGTTTGTTCGCTCCAAGCCTATTTTTGGCTTAAAATAATTGATTCTTGTTCAAGCTGAGTATGTGAGTGAAAATTATTGTTTTGGAGAGGAAGGATCTGTTCAATAGGGGAGATCCATGAAAGAGATATATTATATTTCCTAATTCAGGTTTGGATGAATCTATTCAATAGAAGAGAGTAAATTAGGGTGATGTGACTTCTGAACATTAAAATTTAAACCAATAAACAAATGAATACATTTGGAATGTTTAAACACGAATGTGAGATGCAGAACGAAAAATGTGCGATGAGTCATTTTATGATTGCGAGTATTGTTTCAGCTTTTTAATCATGAGGAACATTGCCTTTCGAAATTGTAGCTATTGCTTGACTGAATCATTACTGAATGGATAATGGATAGAATAGGATAAATGCGTACTGATGGATGTGCTTTATTGCCTTGATAAGATTGCTTCTGCTCTGCTAATGCTACTGCTGCCATTGCTTGTTTGACTCATTTCACTTTTCTCACAAGGTCTACACTGTCCTAAAATGCTAAAACCCAGTCAGTTTGCAATAATTCGAAATCTGTATGATATCCTATCGAAGCTATCGTCTGTTCAGCTGATCATATTACAAAATAATGATACTTTCACCGAATGGAGTGCACAACAAAACCGCAACAAATACACAGTGATCTGTAGGTATCGATCGCAATAAGAGCATCAATTTGACCAGAACTTAAGTCACTTCTGCAGTTTGCGAATGTAACTGTGAGAATATAGAACAGAGTTATTAGAATTTTGATGACACGGTGTCCTTATAATAACAAGAGTAGTTGCTAACCGTCACTTTTAAGACTACTAATATAATGTATTTTTGTATCATTTTGATCAAGCCAATTCGTCATATCAGTTACTGAACACATTCCAAATTCGAAGCCAGCCAAACCATCCAAACAGGACGAAGTTAGTCGCTTTTTCTGTGCATTAATTTAAAAAGGGATTTTCGATGACAAAAGATTATTGAAAACGTGTCGCCTCTACAATGGTAGATACTACTCGAAGTTCTCGACGATGAGAATGTTTGAATGAATGGTTCTGAATGAAGTCCTTGAAATAACTTGATGATCGGGTAACCTTTTTGGATTTTCGCAATATTTCATCTTTATCTGGCAATAAGATCAACAGACAAACGCGTAATATATAATGAAATATTTTATCATCTGAAAATGATCATTCGTTTGTTGCATTTCGTAATAATGCAAAAAACCAGCCAGTAACGGAATTGATGAGATTCATTCCGGTTTAGTTTTTTCTCTATGGACTCAACTTAAAACAGCGGCGATCAAATTTCCTTGCAAAATTATTCTTAAAACAATCGTTGTGAAGAATGCTTGTATGTTTGTTTCGCGATAGCCAATTTCGACATAACATCCCTTCTATTGAATCAGTTGTCATCATCCTCACACAACTTAATCGAGATTTATCACGATCTCTTAATATTTCATCGCTCTTTTCAAAAAGCTCATACACAACTAACTATTATCTTCCAGCAGAAATATCCATATGGATATTCTCATCAAAAAAATTTGTTTTCACAAGCACGTTGTAGCTCACATCAAAAAAGTCACAGAATAGTATGGATGCATCATCTGCAATGACAATGACCGTATACATGATTAGCAAGAGGTTTAAAACTTCGAAAATATAGCTAATCTAATGGTATGAAAGTAGCACTGAACTGTTTACTTGAATTTCACTTGAACGGATCGATGAAAAACCGACACCGAACTAATGAGCAAGCATTCACTGATGTAAATTTGTGATACAAAAGCATCGAATATACAAATATGTGATACAAAAGAGCAACATTCCTTTCAGAACCCATTCATCGTCGCAATATACAACTGAATCGATCATTTTAAACAAATAGACTCCAGAGGATAACACTATTGATTACATATTAACAACCCTTCATCAGAAGTAACCAACAGTCAATGATTAATAATGATAATAATTAATGATTATAATAACAAACTATTAATTCATGGTAATGTTTATATGATGAATAAATATTTATTCATTCGTTTCTACCAGCACATCAAACAAGTCAGTCTAAAAATAAACATCACTGTTGCTATTTGTTTGCAAGTGTTCATAATCACGTACAGATTTGATGCATGCCATTTATCATATTAAACAATCTATATAACCTCTTTTGTGCGTTTTTTGGCTCATGTCGATGGGAAAAACGTTTAAGAAATATGCGAAAAAAACACTTTTCGATGCTTTACATATAGCAGCATCACCAAAAATGCAACATACAGAAAAGATGAATGAACAACGAATATGATTTCTTCCAGCTCGTGATGATATCTTCCACCAATTACCAATACACAAAACACTGAATTTTTCTTTCTTTCCGATTTGCATTCTAGCAACAAAACGATACTAAAAACAAACACAAGTCACTTGAAAGAACAAGCATAAAATGAGCAACCTACGCGCAGAGAATCACTATAATGTTTAAAAACGTATTTATGTTCAATGAATAAAATATCCTCTAATAAGAACGAATAACTCAACACTTAAAAATAATAATACTATTATAACAACAACAAAATCAACTGTGTGTCACTAATTTTGAACACAAACGGTAATGAATGCGTACCGAATGAACCAAGTCATAGTAACGGACTGATTTCAACTATTCAACAAACAGGAAAAATAACACGGACAACAAAATAATGTGTTCAAAAATAAAAATAATCATTTTAATTTTATCATAGCAAAATTACATCTAACAAGAAACACAAGATACAAGCAAAGAACAGTAGAAGGAACTGAGCACTGAGATAAGGTGGAGTAACCAACTTAGGAGCGTGATAGATGTGATCGCTAAGTTTGAATTGATCAGTATGCTTAAGATATGATGAGATAGATGACGCTCGTTCACCACACCAGAAAAGAACAATGAAACAAAACAACTTTACTGATCTTCAGAATCAAACGCTCTTCAATTTGACCAGCACTGTTTCAAGCAAAGAATGAACGTTGAGTGCGCTGAAGTATACGATCGAAAGATAAACGGTGATACATAAGGCCAATAAAAGCTCGAAAACTGCTGGTTTCACTCGATGTGCTGTCAAACGATCCTCTAGCACGCCGTACAACGTAATATCCACCAATGATACTGGCTCGACATGCGGTCGACCTGATACATACCTGAAACATTATAAATAATAACTGAAGATCAACATGACCGCCAAACTCGAGAAGCTTAGATCAATGCTACAATTGTAACTACATGGGATGCTATGATCGGATTTGTAGAAGCTGACGATAAGGACAGCGATGCAAGTAATACGTTTCAATAGAATATATAATCACGGTGCTATGGTATTTTCGTTCTATCTCTTTAAGGAACAAATATTTCCTCAGAAACATATACCCGCTGCATATAAAATCAACTTTCTACAAACAGTGAAATCATTTTGAATCTTTTAGCGACGAAGAATTATGCAGCAGAACGAAATCATGTTGTGAAAAGCAACAAAGATGAAACCTTCAAATATCTACAACAAAACAGTCAAATGAAATCGAAACAACATTACATTGCAACAGTATCAGTAAGGTCGGCGATAAGTGCCTCCGAGTTGCCAGCCAATGGCCTCGATAAGGTAGCGAATTTTTTCATCCAGTGTGCCAGTCTTTTTGGCTCAACACCGTGCTCTTTCAAAATCAAACACGTCGACGATTCGTTGTCATCATTTGAGCAATGTGTATTCGGTAAGTCGAACATATGCGCCACCAGTGCTTCACCGATCGCACCCACATTTGCCTTGAATAAAACTCAATCCATTGCTGACAGTTGAAAATTCCTACGATGAATCACTTCAAAGAGTTTTTTCCTTCGCCAAAAACATCATTCTCGTTGAAAATGTAAGATGAAAACATCAAAAAAGGATGCACGCATCTGAAAGACGCGTAAATTATAAATGAGCATAAGATACCGAAAGCTTCTCGGTATTTATTTGATGATGGCGATAGAATTGAAAGAAAGTAAACAGAATTGGAGATTAAATGCAATGCATTTCATGTCACCACAAACCTGTAGCGCTTCCAAATCGATCTGTTTAGGTGAATCGAGCAGAGATGTACGAATTGGATCCATATGAGACGTTAGCCTTGAAAGCGTGAATGCAGGTAATCGTTTTATTGAATACCTGGAATATTGAAGGATCAGTTGAATGGAATCAAATTCTAGTAAGAAAGATAGCAAAATGGCAGAGAATTTATGACAGAAAAATTTTCTAAGCATTTGCAAACTAACCGAAAAACAATAAGCTTACTTGCAATTAATAAGAACGACTCATGCGAATCTAAGCATCATCAGTGAGAATGCGAAAAAACATGAACAAGGAATTCCCACTTTTCTTGCAGAATGATACAAATTGATAATGATACAATTTGCGAATGTTTCATATTTGATTTCTTTCCGCATGAAACTTAGTCGCCCTAACAAAAAAGAAACAAAAAAACTTGTTTATTGACAAATGATCAGAACATGCTCGAAAAAATGAAAGATGAAGCTGTAAAAACGACCACGACGATATATTCTAGCTGCGAAAGCTAAGAGAATAACTGACTGATTCATAAATGAAACTGAATGTCACATCATTGGGAAAACGATCAACTAACCGCTCATGCTCCCATGCCAGTGTTTCAGCGTTGAGGTTGATCTTCTTCGACGTGATTTCAATCGTTCTGTTCGACTGTTTGGCGTTCTTGATTCTGGTGAACATTCTGCCAGCTGGTGCAGTTTCAGTCGGTTTTTTGGAGACGTGCATTACTAAACCATTGCCTTTACCCAACGTATCCAAACAAATTACCATTTCAACGTTATCCTCTAAAACTGATTGATACCAGATACTGCACTTTTTCATCACTGACATTTTATATTACATTAATTTGGGAAAATAACAAAAACAATGATGAGAATTGGGAAAGGCATAAAAAGCTTTTTCCTAAATTCATCTGAAGAACTTACAGGAGGAGAATTGAATTGCAAACCAAAGAACTGTGAAAGAGCAAGCTGTTCGATAAAAAGCGAATGGCGCAATAATAAAAAAGGGAGAAACTGAAGAAAAGAAACAAATGAGAAGTAGATTTGAGAAGAACCGATTTGTTTTTCGATGTGATCCTCAATCCATTGACGACTACCCTGATAATTGAATTTACCTCCAGCGGTCAACAGGAAAATCATGTTATATTTCGGTTTTGTGGTCACCTAAACTTCGAAACTTGAAAAACATAAAGAGAAAATAAATTCAAAGAAAAACTAATAAGATTTCATGTTAAGGAACAGACACAAAAAACTATTTGTTCCAAATCCGGCTACTATTTCCAAACTATCACTTTCGATAAGTTTAGCACATAAACGAAATAAAGAGAAAGATCATTGGCGCAAAAAATATGAATAAATTAATCATCCAATTTGTTTCACCGGACACACGAAAATTCACTTCAACGAGTGAATATTTGCTTGCGAACAGAAAGAAACATTATTTTTTGACTTATATTGATAACGAAATGTGCTCGATTTGTTTAAGTTTGTCAGAGTTTGAATAGGCAATGAAACAGGGATATAAACAATATAGCTGCATTATTCGGAATGGTTTCGGATGGATACGAATACGTCTATAAATGAACATAATTTAACTAGTATCGATTAGATACGATAAATTAAAGAGAAATCAAATAAAAAGACAATACGGGTATGGGTCAACGAGTGGATTGACGGTGATGCGCATTCGGTCTACCCGAAAAACGAATCGTGCTTTTTTATTTGCTAAACACAAATTCGATTCTACGGGTTGACCGAGAGTGATCACTATGAACGCAGTGATGGTGACGAAGGATGGTTACGATTGGATGAGCATGAATTGATATAAAAAATCGACTTGTTCAAAGAATAAGAACGGACGAGACAGACGTTAACTTACATTTGAGTAGAATGTCGAAAAAATTGCAAGTAATTCAAGCAATGCAGCAATACCACTTCCGTTCGAATCAGAACCTGTAGAGAGTGCGGGGATGGCGGAATGTGAATCGTAATGTGCCACTAAAACAATCACTGGTGATGCGTGATCCGTTGCCCACAGACGACCCTATAGTTACATTTTTTAAAAATTAGCAACGCAAAGGCTAAAAACTTTTCGAACAACGTACTTCGAGAATAAATGAATGCATAAAGAAATATAATACGAAATAAATTTGGTATTATCAAAGGCTCTGTCCGGGAGTAATAAAAGATAGTAATTTTGGTCTAAAACATATGTTCAGCAATAACAAATAATGTTGAACTGGCTGACCAATAAATAAGCATTAAGCGATAATAGCAATCATTTGATGTCTCTATACTGCTAAAGTCATGAACTGATTCTCAAATGGTGGCAGTGAAACAAACCAGAAAAATAAGAACAACGAAACTTGAATAATAATTCCTAAACGTTACCATTATATTAGCAGTAGGTGGTGTAACTGGCGCATTGGACTGAGGAAGAGATGACGACAACTGGAACGTATTGGCCGCAATTGCATTCAGTAGCTGTTGCAATGTTGACGAAGTTCTTGAAAAAAAAACTTTTCAGATATTTGTTTGAAAATGTAAAAACTAACAAAATAAATGAATATGCTCTATTTTCAAAAAGAGAAAAATCCATTATATCAATCTGGGAAGCAAAAATTCTCATCGGATACTTTGACGGCCTCTGACACATTCAGAACAAATACAACATAAACAATGAAACTACTGAAGCCCCACACAACTAATCAATCAAAAGTATTCTTTGCGGTTGAAACATTATTTCAGACGATATGTCTCCTTTCCAAAGCGTTAATCAAAGCATCAATTTACTTTTGAGTACTTCAACTTCAAAAAGCTACAATTTCAGATGTGAAAAAACGCCATCATGTTTTTGGCGATAATAAATAGAAAACGAAATGTAAAATCTTACGTCGATGAGAATGAAGAAACATCTTTAAGTAAAGCGTGTAACTCAGGTTTTTGATGCGCTACATAGACAGCCACTTGTGTGTCCAACGATAATAAGCTACGCTCCAATATTACGAAGTTCTACAAAATTTTTGATTAATGAATTCATATTTCACCTGATTTTGTTTAAGGAACAGAAACTGAAGTTATCAGATAAAATCAATCAGCTGCATTTATATCAACAAATAAAACATGCTTTCGATGACAATGGAGGAGTGGCAATAATGATGAATAAATAATCAAACATACGGCACGATCTGTAGGTGGTAACGCATCAAGATCGGCAGGAATTATAATCACAACACTACCTAGCGCATGATCGAATAAAGCATTCATATCACGGCCAATTAATTCACGCCAGCCAACAATTACACAACGTCTCAGCGCATTTCCATTTAGTGAAACTGCTTCGTACAGTACTATAATAACTTTCATCCTGAGTTAAAATATTTCAGCCCATTTTTTAAGAAATCATCAGTTGGATAAATGTTACGCACGACTGACGTAAGTTGAAGATGAGGTGGTTTAACGTTTCGATTAGTATAAATCAATGAAACGTCTACTTAGAATAATAAGCTATATATCGATGTTAACTTTCAGAAGAGACTGACATAAATGATGAGATAATAACAGAATAAACAAATAATAAGAGGAACCTTTCGATGAGCGACTACCATGTGATGCACCAACTAAATCATACTGTTGTAAACGATATGCCTTCAGCTCCATTTCAAAGGTATCTCCCAATTGAGTACCACTTACAACACACCATGATAATAGAACTGATACGTATACAATCACAAATGGATTACGCAACGCTTCTAGTAGTTCTTCCTGCATTCTACTACCTGAAGAAAACGATCATCAAATTAACAGAAAATGTTGCCTTATCAGGAACGTTCGCTGAAAAAAGCAAAGGAACGGTACACCATACCAAATAATAATATTAAAACGACGATAATTCAAGCGGTTCTCACAGCACTGCTTTCAGTCGTTTTAAATCATTCTAAACGGCAATTCCTAAACATCGTACGGATCTAGCAGTACACGTGGGTAGGTTTTGGGTAATCTTGCAGTTAACGTATCTCCGAAAAGAAGCCAGGCTCACACAAATCCTAAGCTATGGTTAATCCTTACTTTTGACTATGGACTCACCGCGGGGATTAGACCGATCTATCCTTACCCTGAGACTGAGGTCCACCTCGGGCTTACATTAAACTCTTAACTGTAGGACTGATGCTCATCCAGAATTCACTAACTCGAAAACACCGCCTCTTCTCACAGATATGTTAACTACGAGAGTGACCGACAAATGCATCTACGACAAGTCTGGCTCCGACAAAAATCACCATGTTACTCAATGATGAGGCACGCGCAAATTGTCGGAGTGGCACATTCTCGTAGACCAATTTGTCGTAGACCCGACTACGAACTTACTTCTAACACTTGGGACTTCAAGGAGCCAAAATAGGCATGCTGACAGTTAGCCAAGTACGAACGGAGTGACAGTTTGCCAAGTGATGGAATTCGGATTTTCATTTGATGTGTTCAGAAATGTGGATTTCTTACCTGTTAATAAGAGATGAGTCCAAGCAATTTATATACCATTTTGTAGCGCAGATCAAGGCTAATGAAACGTGACTGACAGATTTGCCAGCAGTCAAGATATGTTCGAGATTTTCGATTTCGCTTTATGTATAAAAAATTCAACAAATAATTTGAATTGCTACCCACCCGACAGGCAAAATTTTAAACCATGATATATACCATCTTGCAGCCGACATTGAGAGCTATAGAAATCCGCTCTAAATATTGAAGTCAGTTGATAAGATACAAGAGTTATGTCGCTTGGCGTGACCAACGGTTATGTTCAGTAGTCATAATTGGCATATATACTGTATTAATTGAAATTCTCTGTCTCATAAGAAGATATTAGGAAGAAAGAAATAACATCAAAAACAATGATACCATGAAAACATATTGTTGCAGGGCAAAACTCAGGATTGAGGAACCTTGAGTGCTGTACCAGTGATTTTCATGTAACAGTGCAGTGCTGTTCAGATATTTAGTCATATCTCTCGAAGTGAGCAGAATCCCTCGACAATATCTACACTTTTCCGATACGGAGAACGTCAGATTACCACCTGGTAACATACGAATTTCTTTCCGGGATCTCTACTTTCAGAATATCATATAATTTGCGAGAAATTATGATTAGACGAGGAGATATAGCTATTTCCTCAATGATATACGGTTTGCTATCTTCGAGCCTACCGTACCCTCAAGTTTGCCCAGTATTATGTAAATTTCTTTGCATTATTCGGTTCCTGAGAACCTTCAGATTCATAATATCATATATTTTGCTGAGGAGTTCGGCTTTCATGAGAAGATATAGCTGTTTCCTTAAAGCTATCTCAACGAGCTCATTGGCGCTCATTCATATATATTGTATCCCTATTGATCAATGCATACACTATTATATGACTTATAGGATTACCTTCTTCAACGTAACGGTACTCTCCCATTTTCCCAGTAACGCGTTATTTCCTGCACATTGTCAGATTCCCCAGATTCTCTGCTTTTATTAAGGTATATATTTTGTAGGGCAATTCTGCTCCCTTTCTGAGGAATAGCTGATTTTCTGAATTTGTCTCAGTTGCTCGGCTTCGCTCATTTCAACACAGTATATCTACACTAGCATAGCAGTTTGAGAGTTATCGTTTTCAAACAGTCGGTCTTCTCAGGTTTATGTTCTCAAATATAGTAATGATCTTCGATCGTTTGATTCAAGGTGAAGCCGAACGAGAAGTGACGATGGAGGTCATGAACAATATGAAATATTTATATCAGTGTAATTGTGAGACTGGTATAATCTCACTGAATGTGGTCTACTTTGGAAGGAAAATCGCAGAAGAGATTGATATTTTTATGTCAGTTTTGTTTGATGTGCTATTGTACAGATTTTAATTAGACAGTGATAATGACGAATTATTGAAGCAGTTTCAATACAGCCCTAATCAAGCATCGAAATAGTGTATTGGAACATGTTTGCCCCCATATGGTGTTCTCATACTTTTTATTCACATCTTAGAAATCTGCTGTGTTCTGTTCGGATTTTGTCAATCGTTTCGATGTATGCATGCAGGGATACTTTATATTATTCATTCAGCAGTTTTGTTACATCTTTTCTCAAGTACCTTATTGCTAGAAAGAGATTTGCTCATCAGAGCGATTCGGCTGCATTGAAATTAAAGATATTGAATATCCCAATTGTATCAGTCGCCTTTCACGTGCATCTCTTCTTGATTCAGGATGATTGTGATATCAGTGAACAGTATCTTATCAAAGTAATCAGTTGTCATTACTTAGAATAGACTATATGTTCATGCCCTATATGCTATATGCTTCCCTTTGGTGATACAATTTCAATGGTGCAATGTCAAACAGCTGATCAGAGATCATAACTTTTTACGATGTTGTTTACTCAATACATTGCTATTTCGCAATAGGCTTTTGGATGCACTCTGTCAAAAAACGTCAAACGACGTTCCTTGCTTACAATGCTTTAAACACGCACGTGTACACCCACACACGCTCGCATCTGAAGCATGACACACAGGATTGATGAAGCCTCTGTATCTCTATTCTCTCGTATATTCCCATGTTATTTTACTTCTCAGTAGTCTTCGCAATGCTATTTCGACAATTTTCGGCTTGATGACGAAAGCAGACACCCCACCTGTCAATCGATTTTTTTCTCATCTAACTCCACCAAGATGACTTAAATCACTTTCAATTCTGCTAACACGATTGTACGATTTTTGATGCATTTGATTCGTATGAATTTTTGATTTTTTTTTCAAAATTTGACTCATTTGATCTATTCCCATGAATAGTACCATACCAATTGATCATCACAGATCATGTCAAAGTGACTGCCTTACTGATATGTTTATTCAGCATTCATTTACTATTGTCATGAGTGGTTTGTGCGGTCAACTATTGATGCATTATACATGTTTCTGTATTTTATTCAGCATTTTAGTTTTATTATTATCGGTGATAATTTAATACTATTGTGATAATCGTGAGAATCGCATTGAATGGTCCTGATTGTTCTGAAATAAAATTTATGAAAACTGCGAAATATTCATTTAATACTGTTCCAGATGGAGATGATCGAGCAAGCTGTGACAGCTTCAACGATGCTGACCGATTCAAATCGAAGGTGAGGAATTAAATCATTTATGTGGTGATTTAATTTGTTACTTAGTGGTTTGAAATGACTTGATTATCAATCGGCCTTGTTGATTTCTCGTAATCTGATATGAATTGCCGGATTTTCAGTGAGTATGGTGGACGACGTTTTGATGGACGCTTTTTTTCGACGAATACGTTTTCGATGAATGGTGTTCGGCGGTTGATGAGGACGTTCTGGATAACAACAACACTAAAGATTATCAGTGTGCAACGTGGATATCAAAATGTCAAACATCAATTTCAATATCAAAAGATAAACAATCAAATAACAATAACCGACAAATACGACACGATAGCGCGTGGAAGCGCTGGGTTAGGAGATTGAACTTTATTTTCTTTTCATTAGAACTTGAATAAATAATCCGGAGTTGAACAACTCCTCATTTTTCATTATTTATTTTCACTTCTATTTGAACCTAGGGACCAGGAATAAAATTAAGTCGTGGTCAGTGACCACTTTTTGCATGCTTCATTATTTCATTCTTTAATTGAATTGTAATTGTAAATAATTGTATTGTGAATTTTAGAACGTTTGAATAATATTGTGAATATTTGTAAATGTATAATAGTAAGTGTTTGTAAATGATTGTTTAATTGAAACTGACTTTTTGAAATTAGTTGACAATACAGTGGTGTAGATATTGTGACGTATTGTTCAATGTTATCATTGTTAATTGAAATATGTTTCTAAAGAT